CATTTGAGCAGGGATTGTACGACCCCTGCTACTGCCATCGCAGCATCAGTTCTGATTTGCTTTCAGTGCAATCAGAGGGGACATAAAAAGTCCCAGTGCCCGAGTTTAGCCACAGTAGGGAAGGTGGCTGCACCTGCCCCTGCTACTTTGAGGATTACAGATGGCCGGAAGGGCCGAGCCGAGGCGCCAGTGGCGAAGAGTAGGGCTTTTCAGATGACAGCAGAGGAGGCGCGAGCGACTCCTGATGTGGTGACGGGTATGTATTTTCCCTTCATCTCTTTATTATTATTGATTGATTATTGCTTATGATTATATGTTTTTATATAGGGTCGTTCTCTGTGAACGACATTTCTGTTATGGTATTATTTGATTCAGGGGCTACCCGGTCGTTCGTATCGCTAGCGCTTAGCAAGAGATTTAGTAAAGCTCCAGGGGAGTTGGATTGTCCACTAGAGGTTGAGATAGCAGATGACAGGACCGCCAGAGTGCATAGAGGGTGTTCTCTTCAGTTGTTTGACGAGCAGTTTTCGGTGGACCTGGTTCCTATTCCCCTGCGAGGGAATAAGGTTATAGTAGGCATGGATTGGCTGAGTCCCAATGGGGCGGTGATTGATTGTGAGCTGCAGCTAGTGAGGGTTCGCACTCCCAGTGGGGGAGAGTTAGTGATTCAGGGCGAGAGGCCACAGCGCGGACCAACCTTTTGTTCTGCCGCGAGAGCGAGACGCTATTTTCAGCAGGGTTGCGCTGGTTATGTAGCTTATGTCTTGGATGCCCGGGAGAAGGGCAAGACGATAGTTGATGATGTTCCGGTTGTGCGAGACTTCCCGGATGTATTTCCCGAGGATTTACCAGGAATACCTCCTGAGAGGCAGGTCGAGTTTAGGATCGACCTGATTCCTGGTGCGGCTCCGATAGCCAAGGCACCGTACCGTCTAGCTCCCCCTGAGATGCAGGAGTTGTCTACGCAGCTGCAGGAGCTGCTAGACAAGGGTTTCATTCGGCCGAGCAGTTCGCCTTGGGGAGCGTCGATCCTGTTTGTGAGGAAGAAGGATGGGTCACACCGTATGTGTATAGATTACCGGGAGTTGAATAAGGTAACGGTGAAGAACCGTTACCCACTTCCGAGGATAGATGATTTGTTTGACCAGCTTCAGGGAGCATCTTGGTTCTCCAAGATCGATCTACGCTCCGGATATCATCAGATGCGGGTTAGGGATGAGGATGTGCAGAAGACTGCTTTCAGGACCAGGTATGGTCATTATGAGTTTGTGGTGATGTCATTTGGGCTCACCAATGCTCCAGCCGCGTTCATGGATCTCATGAATCGCGTGTGTAGACTGATGCTGGATCGGTCAGTGATAGTATTCATAGATGATATCTTGGTGTATTCCAAGACGCAGGAACAGCACGAGGAGCACCTGAGGGAGGTGCTGGAAGTTTTGAGGAGGGAGAGACTTTTCGCAAAGTTCTTCAAGTGTGAGTTCTGGTTGCGCGAGGTGCAGTTCCTTGGTCACCTCGTCAACCAGAAGGGTATTTTGGTGGATCCGGCCAAGATAGAGGCTGTGATGCAGTGGGAGGTCCCGAAGTCTCCATCTGAGATTCGGAGCTTCCTAGGGTTGGCAGGGTATTACCGGAGGTTCATTCAGGATTTCTCCAAGATAGCAGTGCCGCTCACCCGACTGACCAAGAAGTCGGTGGTATTTCGTTGGGGGCCTGAGCAGCAGGCAGCGTTCGAGACCCTCAGGCAGAGATTGTGCGAGGCTCCGATCCTTACCTTGCCAGAGGGGGTAGAGGACTTTATAGTCTACTGTGATGCCTCAATCACAAGTATGGGAGCAATGTTGATGCAGCGAGGCCATGTGATAGCTTACGCCTCAAGGCAGTTGAAGCCTCACGAGGCTAATTATCCTACCCATGATTTAGAGCTAGGGGCGGTTGTGTTTGCAATCAAGATTTGGAGACATTATCTTTATGGGGTCCGTTGTACTATCTACACGGATCACAAGAGTTTGAGGTACCTTATGGATCAGCCGAGTCTGAACATGAGGCAGAGGAGGTGGTTAGATGTGCTGAAAGATTATGATTGTGAGATCCTTTACCATCCAGGGAAGGCCAACGTGGTGGCCGACGCCCTAAGCCGCAAGGTGTCGGCAGCCCCTATCAGAGATTTGTGTTTGAGGATGACAGTGATTACTCCGTTGTTGGAACGGATTAGGGAGGCTCAGGTTGAGGGCCTCAAGGAGGAGAGGCAAAAGTGTGAGAGGATAGTGGGTCGAGTAGCTTCGTTTGATTATGACAGTCGAGGATTGCTGACACTTCATGGGAGAGTGTGGGTACCGTACTGGGGTGGGGGTACGGCAGGTGTTGATGGACGAGGCTCATAAGTCATGATTTTCTATCCACCCAGGGGCGACGAAGATGTATAGAGATCTTCGACCCGATTATTGGTGGCCCTGCATGAAGCGGGATGTCGCTTGGTATGTTGAGAGATGCCTGACCTGCAGGAAGGTCAAGGCGGAGCACCAGAGGCCTCATGGCAAGATGCAGCCGTTAGACATTCCCGTGTGGAAATGGGAGGACATTACCATGGATTTTATCACCAAGCTTCCTAGGACCGCACGAGGGGTAGATTCGATATGGGTAGTAGTGGATCGGTTGACGAAGAGTGCTCATTTTATCCCGATCCAGGAGAGCATATCGGCAGAAAAGTTAGCCGATATCTATGTGCGTGAGGTAGTGGCACGTCATGGAGTTCCGGTATCGGTGGTGTCAGACCAAGACGTCCGTTTTACATCCAGATTCTGGAAGCGGTTTCACGACGAGATGGGTACTTGTCTCCATTTCAGCACCGCTTTCCACCCTCAGACGGGCGGGCAGAGCGAGAGGACGATTCAGACTCTCGAGGACATGCTCAGGGCATGTGTTCTAGACTTCGGTGGCAGTTGGGATACGTATCTTCCATTAGCGGAATTTTCGTATAACAACAGTTATCATGCGAGCATTGATCGACCTCCCTTTGAGATGCTTTATGGGAGGAAGTGTAGGACCCCGATTTGTTGGGGCGAGGTCGGTCAGCGGGTCGTTGGGAGCACAGAGGTGGTGCTCAAGACGACTGATTTGATTCAGCAGGTCCGTAATAGACTGCAGACTGCGCAGAGTCGGCAGAAGAACTACGCTGACAGGAGGCGTTCAGACTTGGAGTTCCGGGTGGGCGATATGGTCCTTTTGAAGGTCTCACCCTGGAAGGGTGTCATCAGGTTTCGGAAGAGGGGAAAGCTGGGCCCCAGATTCATTGGTCCTTTCAGGGTTTTGGCCCGAGTGGGTCGGGTTGCTTATCGGTTGGATCTTCCAGTAGAGCTTAGCCAGATACACAACGCTTTCCATGTGTCTCAGTTGAGGAAGTGTTTGGTGGATGAGTCAGTAGTGGTTCCCATAGAAGATATTCAGGTTGATAGCAGCCTGAATTATATTGAGAGGCCGGTCGCGATTCTGGACCGGAAGACAAAGACCTTGAGGAACAAGGCAATTCAGTTAGTGAAGGT